GCCTAGACCCTTCTTCAGAAAATGAAGGCCCAAAACATCAGCCTTCTTGCTCCTCTGACGCTGCTTGGCCTGCTGTGTTCATCCGGCTCTACACCTTGTTATCTCAGATTCTCCAGCATCTGCAGTTCCTACTATCTCTGTTCATCAGATAGCTGACTGGCAAACCCTGCCACCTGATGTGAACCATCTTTTTCAGATAGAGATGGCTCTAAGACAGACAGCTGACTGGCAGTTGAACTCAAGGCTGCTACCTCCACCTGTTGTGGTTTGTATACTTTCTTGTCTAAAGTCTCCCATCTATATTGCTGTATATTAAACCAGGTGAAAATGCGAGATGAATGTGGTACCAGGCCCCACCATTGGCTCAGTAGTTATGACTTGGCAGTTTGTTCACTAGCAAGTAACTCACCTCCAGTCTCCCTAACGTACATATGCTATCTACAAAATACAAGTCATGAGTGTGAGGGAACACTCCTCACTTGCCTGGATGAGTGCAGCTCTAACAACATTCAAGAAACTCAACACTAACCAGGTTAAAACAGCCCACTTGACTCAAACCCCATTAAATAACTTCAGCATTTTCTCTTCAAACCTGGTGCCCAGTAGCAAGTGTGTTCCAACTAGATTCACACTAACTCACGAATGCTCCTTTGACAGCACCTTCCAACATGCAACCTCAACTACCACCACCCAAAAGGACAATGGTAGCAGATACTTGCAAACACCACCACCTGCTAGTAGTCCTCAAAAGCCATTGGCATCCTGGCTTGGAAATATATTGCTCTTCCTTTACTATCACTAGCTTAAAATCCTGGAATTCTCTTCCTAACAGCACTGCGGACATCCCTACAAAGGTTGCAATGGTTCAAGGCAGCTCACCACCACCTTCTAAATGTCATTTAAGGATGCGTATTAAATTAGCTTTGCTACTGATGCCCACATTCCATTTACATATATTAAAAAGAATGGTCAGAGGAATGCAATCTTCAGTCAAAGAGTAGCATTCAAAAATAAATCTCCCCTGCCTTCCAACAATTGGACAAAACTGCCATTAAGCTTTTGAACATCAGCATGTTACAGAAGAGTGACAGACCATTGCTCTGAATGGCACGGCACTCAATCCAAGTTCTGGGTGTTCCAAAGTCTGGCTGTAGATTTGAGAAGAAGCTTTGTGAGAGTGAGAGTGTCCTCAAACCCAGAGAGACAGACATAAAGATGCTGTAAGGGACATACACCTCTATAATTACGTTAAAAACACCATTTTAAAAGGATTGGCTGAAACTCATCAAACCCATTCTGAATAACAAGAGCTAGAGATTTAGCTTACCACGAACAGCAACTTTCATTTCAATGCCTCTGGCTCTTTGCGCATTCCACAAACATAAATATGGCTCATCATCACTTAGAGAACAAAACCATCACAACAGTTCATAGCTCTCACAGCTGCAGGTAGTGATTCACCATCCACAGAGATTCTGAAACAAACTGTCAGCGGGCTAGGTGATGTAATGAAGTGAAACAAAATAACCAGTAGTAGGAATTATGACCGCTTCATGACCAATTTTTAAGCAAGATGGTGGCGGAGTAAGATGCTTGGACCGAGCTTGTCGGCTCCATCCGTTTCCAACTTCCACTCCTTTCTTCTCCCAGCCTCAGGTTCGACACAGACCCAGCAAACTGGCCTGGTGGGGCGGACTCCCAGCCTAGCGTGGTGGTCTCTCTGCCCAGCGTGGACATCTGTTCTTGAAGTCATTCCTTAAAGTGTGGAATGAGTGTGGCTAAGCACTTAAGACAGACTGTAATGGTTGAATTTTCAGCTTTTCAAAAAAAATTCATTTCTTGAGATGTGGGCATTGCTGGCCTGTCCCTAGTTGCCCTTGAGAAGGTAGTGGCGAGCTGCCTTCTTGAACCGCTGCAGTCCACCTGCTGAGGGTTGACCCACAATGCCACAAATCAGGATGGCGAGTGGTTTGGAGGGGAACTTGAAGGTGGTGGTGTTCCCATATATCTCCTGCCCTTTTCCTTCTAGAAGGAAGTGACGGTAGGTTTGGAAAGTGCTGTCTGAAGATCTTTGGTGAATTTCTGCAGTACATCTTGTAGATAGTACAAACTCCTACTGCTGAGCATCTGTGGTGAAGGGAGTGGATGCTCGTGGATGTGATGCCAATCAAGCGGGCTGCTTTGTCCTGGATGGTGTCAAGCTTCTTGAGTGTTGTTGGGGCTGGACTCATTCAGGCAAGTGGGAGTATTCCAACACACTCCTGACTTGTGCCTTGTAAATGGTGGTTAGGAGGTGAGTCACTCGCCACAGTATTCCTAGCCTCTGACCTGCTCTTGTAGCTACTGCATTTATGTGACGAGTCCAGTCGAGTTTCTGATCAATGATAACTCCCAGGATGGTAACACCATTGAATCTCAAGGGGTGGTGGTTAGATTGTCTCTTGTTGGTGATGGTCATAGCCTGGCATTTGCGTGGCACATTACTTGCCAAGCCTGGATATTGTCCCAATCTTATAGCATTTGGACATGGACTTCTTCAGTGTCCGAGGAGTCGGGAATTGTGCTGAACATTGCACAATCTTTATTTTCTACTTGAAATGAAGGACATCTGCAATATGTATTTTTTAATCTGATTTTGTATGTTTTACGTTATAGTCTAATTACCGCAATGTTTTGTATGTGAATACACGTGACAATAAAATCAAAATCAAATCACTTGCAACTGCCAAGAACATTTTTGCAAAGTATGAGAAATGAAAATGATTACAATATTATTAAAATTAAGAACTTTATTTAAAAAAACCTTTCTCCAGAAGTGCAATTTGCACCTATACAAAAAACAGATTAAGGCAAGATTCCTGTGCACTGACTGCAGGGATTGGAACTGGATAAGACCGAGTTATCTTAAGGAGCACTGACACTACTGCACCAGTCCTTATACACAGTGTGGGGTCTGCGACAAGGCCGCTGTGGGGAATGTCTATTCTCTCAGAACTAGCCCTTGATTGCAAGGAACTTCATTATTTGATCCAGGTGGGTGATCAACATTCAGTTACCAAGCTGGAGCTGTGTTTGCAAGACGTCTCATGCGCCTGTAAAGCAAAAATAACATCCCTGTAATGATAGTTTTCACAGCACACTCAACATATTCTCTCGCTCTCTTTCTCTTGTACACAGACATTCCAGAATTCAGATAAACTAATTTAATACTATTTGGAAATATATTTCTGTTCCATCAGTGTTGCTAGGTCAAAATTCTGAAATTCTCTTCCTAATAGCACTACAGGTGTCCCCTACACCACAAGGTCTGCAGTGGTTCAAGGCACCACACCATCAAATACTCACCCAGTGGTAGAGAATCCTATATTCTAACATGATATCATGGTAATGTCATTACCTTATCTACATCCATATGGCCATGGTGGAGTTGGAGTCACAAAATGAAAAAACTGGCACTGTACTTGTAACACCAAGGGAGTGCTACACCAATAGAAGGGCAGTCTTTCTAGATGTGACCTCTGTCAGAGAACTCATCTGCTCTATCACACAGCTGTACAAGCATCCTATTGGAAAAGCAGAAGAGCTCTCATTTGTGCCTGGGCATCCTCAAACTAACATTCTAACAGATTGCTGGGTATATGTTGGGTGTATTACTCTTTTCAATACAGGAATAATGGCATTTCAAAAATACACTAACAACTGAAGATTTTAGAGTGGGGGATAGAAGTGCGTTTTCTGAATTCATTCATGCGACATGGACATCACAAACTGGGCCTGTATTTATTGCACATCTATAGCTGCCCAAAGTGAACCTCACAATTCCATTAGAGAGTGAGCTCCAGGATTTTGACCCAGTGAAACTGAAGGAATGGCAATATATTTCCAGGTCAGTGTGATACGTGGCTTGGAGGGAAACTTGCCAGTAAGTGTGTTCCTGTGTATTTGCTGCCCTCATCTTTCTTGATGGTAGAGGTAATGGGTTTGGAAGGAGCTTCCAAGTTATTGCAGTGCGTCTTGTAGATGGTACACACTGCCACCACTACAAATCAGTAGTGCAGGGAGTCGTTATGGCGCCAGTCAAGCAGGCTGCTTCATCCTGAATGGTGCTGAGCTTCCCCAGTGTTATTGGAGCTGTGCTCATTCAGGCAAATGGAGAGTATTCTGTCACACCCCTGACTTGTGCTTTATAGATGGTGGACAGGTTCTGGCGAGTCAGAAGGTGAGTTACATGCTACAGAATCCCCAGCCAATGACCTTCTTTTATAGTCTCAGCACTTTAGTTGACTGAACCAGTTGAGCCTCTGGTCAATGGGTCTCTTCCTTTGCCCCACCTCCCAACCCCAGGACGCTGATAATGTGGACAAGCATGTGTCAATCAGGCAGCACAGGTTAGGATGTGTGCACACATGCATGGGTCACGTGTCGAGGGTGGGATGTGCACTTGATATGAGTTTGGGAATTTTGGCCCTGATGATATTGACGCACCTTGTGTTTCTATCCTGATCTCGAATCTTCTTCTCCATCTCAGCATCAGTCAGTGTTTCCAGTAGGGGGCACCACTGGTCAGCATCTCCCGTGTTCCTGATTGCAATCTCAACTGTGGGTAGAGGGTTCTCACTGCCACATGGCAAGACAGAATAACTGACATTAGTCACTGGCTACAGAACTTCCAAACAGCCAGCACTGCTGGTAATTAGCCTGTCAAAGCCCCAAAAGGACTTCACACAATGAACTCATGTCTGACTGCAGCAGCCATTTTGTATACAGTAGGATTCCATGAACAATCATGAAATGAATAACTAGTTACATGAAAAACTAATAACAATCTTCAGATTTCATCTCTGACTTGTGCTGATTTGGCTCCAAGCCCCACACTGGGGGAAGTGGGGGGGTACCCCGGCTCCATTACTGACCTGGTGCTGGCTTTCACTGGGAATCTAACATGAGGTGCAGTTCAGTGGCTCCTGCTGGCAGTACGGTGTACCATGTAGACTGTGCGTAGTATATACATTTAAAATAAATTTATTTAAATTTGCTTTTATGATTTTTGACTAAGTAACATGGATTTTCTGTGAGTCTGCAGTTAATATTAGCTTGCAAGTGTTTCTGAAAACATGGCAATTTTTTAATATCAGTTTTATAGGCCTATTGTTAGAAATAATGGGTGTGTGGGGACTCTGGCAGGTTTTACAATTGAACAAAATAATCAAGCTCCAGTTAACTGGTCAAGGAAGTTTTTTAAGCTTAAGGGAAACACCCATGGCTTAGAGAGAATTTTTAGTTTTTAACATTTTAATTTTTGGGAAGTCTTGCGAAGGTGGCTGCATACACCAGTGCTCCTGGGGAGAGAAGAATCTAGTGAAGCTAGATTACTTTAGAGTAAAGAGTTAGTTTGAGACCAGAAGTGTTGGGATAAAACCCCAAAGAGGTTAAATAAAGTTGAGTATGTTCAAGCACAAAAATTATCATTCCAGGAAGAAGCTGTCTGCAGTACTCGTCTATAAGTTAAAATCACAAGTAACCTCAATTTAGCAAGGTGTTAAGAGACAATGACCCTGGTGTGAGTACCGTAAGAGTGGTATTTTGGGTACTATACCACGGTTTGGGATACTATACAAGACCTGTCATTTCTCTTTTCCATTTATAAAAGGTCTGTTTTGAAATTAATGGGATTATACTTTTATCATGTGTTTAAAAATCTTTGAAATTGAGCTATATGTAGATACTTTGGTTTATTTTTGACTTCATTATGTGGCTAATCAACTTTTGTTTTACTGTTGAAACAACACCTACAACACTTTATACTTTGGTCTCTTGCTGAAATATCTTTGTTAAAACCAAAACATGATTTATGAGCGAGGTTCCTGTCTGGATCTGAGTTGTCCAGTAATAACATAAGCTAGGATCCAACAATTCATGGGATCGCTCTTGGAAAGAGCCTCATTTGAAGGTTTTACAAAGCATGACTCCAAAGAATGGTCTTACAGAATTTCCAAATTTTAAGAACAGTCCCAATGGATTGGCAGGAATCAAATTTAACCGAGTTATTCAAGATAAAAGAAGAAGAAAAATCACATGATGATGCAGAGTCAGTAAGGGTGTATGAAAGGGACAGCATGTTTGACAAATCTACTAAAGCTATGAGGTTATAACAGTAGAGGAGACAAGGAAAGGACCAATGGATATCACATGGATTTTCAAAGCATTCGACAAAATGTTTCATAGAAGTCAAGGTCATGGAACTGCAGGGAACATTCAATTCAGATTGGTTTGTGTCTGTTAACCAACCAAGAAATAGGACTGGGATAGACCACTCAGCCCCTCAAACCCAGCCAGGGCACAGCAGCAAACAGGAAAGAAACTGTGACTCCCTGAGCATGGGAACAGTGAGGGTAAGGGAGACAACCTACTAACATGGGCAAAGAATTAAGTTAAGAGATACGAAACAAAGTTGGGGTAGTTGGTATTGCGGGATGTCACCACTTGTGTCCATCAGAGTTCTGGACTAAGGTCTGTATATTAATTTCATAAACAAAGGAATGAAAAGCTGTATATCCAAGTTTGCCTATTATACTGAGTTAGGAGGGACATTAAGTAGGATGAATGGGAACAGAAAGTTGCAAAAGGAGATCAGTGTATTAAATGAGAAGCCAAAACTGTTGCCGAAGTATTTCAATGCTGTCAAGTGTGACGTCATCCACTTTCGATCCAAGAAAGAGATCGAAGTAATTTTTGATCTAGTGAGGAGGACTGTGGAGGCAGAGAGATCATGTTCAGAAGTCATTAAAAACTTGTCAGGAAGTTTTAAAGACAATTAAAATGTGCCATCCTCTGATCTCTGCCAAATGACGGAAGGCCTACCTGAAGGCGTACGTGCGCTGATGCCAGCTAAGCTGACCCCGGATACTGTAGGCGATGGTAGTAACAAACTCCCCTCCAAGACCCAACTCGGAACACAGCTTCAGAGCAAACTTCTCAGGAGAATTCTCCCTCTCGGACATGTCCCACTCAAACTGATCGACCAGCGAAATGTTTCCCACGTGGATGTTCAGCTGCACAAACATATTTCCATTAGTGCCACAGTTCACACAGCTCCTGGCTGTATAAATAACTGAGATTTTCAGGCTGAGTGCAGGAAGGAGCCACAGCACTTCCACTGAGAATACAGCCAGTTTTCCAAACACTGGGGATATCACAGGCAGGCTCCCTGCTCTGGATCACACGTGTGCCTTCTCATGACATCTGCAAGGGATGGTCACTATCTAGCAACCACACTCCGGTGGCATTAATGCCAACCACAGCACCCTGGACTTGTCCCGCCCAGAATCAGCAGAGACCTGGAGGCAAATCCTGGGATCTTCCTGGTTCCAGGATTGCAACTGGCTATGTGCTCACTATAGGAGGTCTAAGCGGAGTGTCATTTTGGCAGATCCAGTGAGAACAGGAGAAGTCCATTTCCCAGCTAGTGCAGCCCATACCCTAGAGTTCCAATAATATCTTTGCACTGGAGTTCCTCTTGCATGAGATGAACATTTTCAGCAGGTTTTCCATATCAGTGTGCTGATGCAAACTCAACTGGAGCTGACTATCATGCCAACAATTGGCACAGAGCCAGCCGAGCACCATCGATCACCAGTGCTTCCAGCTGGGCTAGGCTAAACCAGGAGCTGGATATGAGCATTCAGAGCTGTGCTGGAGCCGGGGGTGGTGGGGGGGGGCGGGCCAGAAATCACCTAAGATAAAATGCATTAGGTCCACAACTGAAACAGATTTGCAAAAAAACAGAAATGGCTGAGAAAACACAGGTCTGACAGCATCTTTGGAGAGAAACTTTTCAGGTCCAGTGACCCTTCTTCAAAACTGGTCAATGGACCCGAAACGTTAACTCAGTTTCTCTCTGCTTTCTTACCACAGATGCTACTAGCCCGCTGGGTTTTCCTAGCAATTTCTGTTTTTATTTCTGATTTCTAGCACCTACAGTTCTTTGGCTTTTTTGAAACAAAGTCGAGTTGGCCCTTCCACCAGATGTCAACCGAAATTAAATTAAATATCACAGTTGCACAACAGCTTCAATCGTTGCTCCATGTGGTAACTCATTTCAAACCATGACTGCCAGTGACAGCAGATTGTTTGGACAAAAGGAAATTCTATCGCAACTGAGCCTAATCTCACCCTCTCCCAGATTTTACAGGAGTGGGGAGAAAATGAATGAGAGCATCTATCTACCTGGATTTACTCTGCTCTCATTCAACAGTAGAATATTATGCACGGTGAAGAACTCACCTTAATGATGACTCTCTGATCAGACTGATCCTCTAGTATACTGTCTGTTGGGTAGGAGTCAATCTGTTGGCGAATTGCTGAGGCAATGGCAGGGACAAAGGTCAAAGGATTCAAATCGAGGTCATCACACAAAATCTCTGCAAACATCTCTGGGGTCATCAACTTTTCTGTAAAAGTTGGTGAGAAACTGACTGTGAACAGGAAACGCAATGCACAATTACAGCAGACACAACAATAAACTGAAGGCTTGAATAATAACTCACTTAGCTCCACTGATGCTCCAGCACACGTACTCAGACAGTTATTATTATTTATATATTATATATTAGGGTGTCAGCTGTGGTTCAGTGGGTAAGTCTTGTGTCAGAAGGTCCTGGTTTCAGTCCCATTTCACACACACAAGCAAATTCACCCAATAATAGAAATGCTGTTGACGATACCATCTTGGCTATCAGTGGGGAGTTTGCATGCTCCCACCATGTCCGTGAGAGTTTCCTCCGGGTGCTCCGGTTTCCTTCCACAGTCCAAAGATGTGCAAGTTAGGTGGATTGGCTAGGCTAAATTCCCATATTGTCCAGGGTTGTGGAGATTAGGTGGGAACTGCAGGGTCACCCAGAGAATGGTGGAGATCTGGAATGCACTGCCTGGGAGGGTAGTTGATATGGGTAATCTTTATAAGTACTTGGATGAATACTTGAAGTATCATAGCATTCAAGGCTGTGGGTCTAATGCAGGAAGTTGGGAGTAGTGTAGTTAAGTATTTTTTGGCAGTACAGGGTTGATGGGCTAGAGGGTCTCTTCTATACTGAAGATGATGCTCTCAATGTTAATTTGTTCAAGTATACTACAGACCCCTTCCCGATCTCTATACCTACTTCATCCTTCTCTATAGCGAATACAAATGCAAAGTACTCATTAAAAACTCAACTATGTTTTCCAGCTATGCACATACATTAAGAACCTGATCCCTAATCGGATCTACTCTTTTCCTGATTATTCTCTTGTTCCTAATGTAGTTATAAAACACCTTTGCATTTTCCAGAATGGCACTCGCCAGTTTTTTTTTTAAATCATACCTCATATTCACTCCCCTGCACTTTCTATACTCCTCTACAGCTTCTGATATTTTCAGCTCTCTGTATCTACCATAAGCTTCCTTTTTTCCCCCTCTGATCCAACTATGTATATCCCTTGACATCCAGGGTTCTGCTTAAAATTAGGTCCAGCACCATCCCCTCTCTTGTAGGAATTTTCTATGTGCTGGCTTGAAAAAGTTATCTTGGATACATTTTAAGAATTCCATCCGCTCAAAGTATTCTACATTTTTGTCTATCCCAGTTAACATTGGGCAAGTTGAAATCCCCCATTATTACCCTATTATTTTTACACTTCTGATTAGATAGTACATACTGCTAGGTGGTCGCTCTGCAGGCCAAGATCCCATAGACAGGGAGGGAATGGTGGACCACTAGGCAGAGTACAAGGACTAGGAAGGCCGTGGCCAATCCCCCACAAAACAGATATATAACTTTGGATACAACTTTGGGGGAATGCCTCTCAGAGGAAAGTAGCAACAGTCTGCTGCATGAGAGAGGAGGAATAAGTGTGGGAAGGCAATAATAATAGGGGATTTATTTGTAAGAGATAGCCGCTTCTGTGACTGCAAGGCTCCAGGATGGCAAGTTGCCTCCAGATGCTAGGGCCCAAATTGTCTCAGAGACGATACAGAAAATTCTGGAGTGGAAGTGGTCGTGGTACACAACATTGGGAACAGATGAGGGCCTAAAAGCAGAATGTTGGGAGTCAGTAAGCAAATTAAAAAGTCAGACCTCAGAGACAGCGATCTTAGAATTGCTACCAGTGCCACGTGCTTCTTGGGAATAGAAACAGTAGATATATCAGATGACTATATGGCCAGAAAGGTGATTCAAGGGGGAGTGTTTCATATTTCTTAGACACTGGAAATGGACTGGGAGAGGTGGCACAAGCTGAATGGATTGCACCTAGGCTAGACAAGAAGTGATGACGCAGGAGGAGTATTCACAAGTACAGTTGGGAAGGGTTTAAAATTGAAATGGCAGGGTGATGGGAACGACACAAGAGGGGGAAACAGGGCAAAAACAAGACAGAATGGTAAAAAGAAGAGAGATAGGCAAAAGATTCAAGGGCAAGAACTAAACAGGGCTACAGTGCAAACTATTGCAAACATGACTAAGAATGTTAAAAAGACAAATCTCAAAGACTTGTCTCTTAAGAAGCAGAGCGTTTGCAATAAAATGGATGAATTAGTTGCATGAATAGATATAAATGGCTATGATACGATAGGAGTTACAGAGACCTGGCAGGGTGATCACGGATGGGATTGAATATCCAATAGTATTTGGTTTTTAGGAAGGACAGTCAAAGAGGAAAGATCAGGGAAGGTGGTAAAAGAGGGGGAGGTGTGGCATTGTTAGTCAAGGACAGTATAACGGTGGCAGAAAGGACGTTTGATGAGGACTCGTCTACTGAAGTAGTATGCGCTGAGGTTAGAAACAGGAAAGGAGAGGTCACCCTGTTGGGAATTTTCTATAGGCCACCGAAAAGTTCCAGAGATGTAGAGGAAAAGTTTGCAAAGATGATTCTGGATAGGAACGAAAGTAACAGGGTAGTTGTTATGGGGGACTTTAACTTTCCAAATATTGACTGGAAACGCTATAGTTCGAGTACTTTAGATGGGTCAGTTTTTGTCCAATGTGTGCAGGAGGGTTTCCTGACACAGTATGTAGATAGGCCAACAAGAGGCGAGGCCACATTGGATTTGGTACTGGGTAATGAACCAGGCCAGGTGTTAGATTTGGAGGTAGGTGAGCACTTTGGTGATAGTGACCACAATTTGGTTACATTTACTTTAGCGATGGAAAGGGATAGGTATATACCGCAGGGCAAGAGTTATAGCTGGGGCAAAGGCAATTATGAGGCGATTAGGCAAGATTTAGGATGCATAGGATGGAGAAGGAAACTGCAGGGGCTGGGCACAATTGAAATGTGGAGCTTGCTCAAGGAACAGCTACTGCGTGTCCTTGAGAAGTATGTACCTGTCAGGCAGGGAACTGTGGTTTACTAAGAAAGTTGAATCTCTTGTCAAGAGGAAGAAGGAGGCTTATGTAGAGATGAGGCGTGAAGGTTCAGTTAGGGTGCTTGAGAGTTACAAGTTAGCCAGGAAGGACCTAAAGAGACAGCTACGAAAAGCCAGGAGGGAATATGAGAAGTCTTTAGCAGATAGGATCAAGGAAAACCCTAAAGCTTTCTATAGGTATGTCAGGAATAAAAGAATGACTAGAGTAAGATTAGGGCCAGTCAAGGACAGTAGTGGAAAGTTGTGCGTGGAGTCTGAAGAGCTAGGAGAGGCACTAAATGAATATTTTTCGTCAGCATTCACACAGGAAAAAGACAATGTTGTCGAGGAGAATACAGAGATATAGGCTATTAGACTAGACGGGATTGAGGTTCATAAGGAGGAAGTGTTAGCAATTCTGGAAGGTGTGAAAATAGATAAGTCCCCTGGGCCGGATGGGATTTATCCTAGGATTCTCTGGGAAGCTAGAGAGGAGATTGCAGAGCCTTTGCCTTTGATCTTTATGTCGTCATTGTCTACAGGAATAGTGCCAGAAGACTGAAGACTAGCAAATGTTGTCCCCTTGTTCAAGAAGGGGAGTAGAGACAACCCTGGTAATTATAGACCAGTGAGCCTTACTTCGGTTGTGGGTAAAGTGTTGGAAAGGATTATAAGAGATTGGAATTATAATCATCTAGAAAGGAATAAGTTGATTAGAGATAGTCAACACGGTTTTGTGAAGGGTAGGTCGTGCCTCACAAACCTTATTGAGTTCTTTGAGAAGGTGACCAAACAAGTGGATGAGGGTAAAGCGGTTGATGTAGTGTATATGGATTTCAGTAAAGCGTTTGATAAGGTTCCACATGGTAGGCTATTGCAGAAAATACGGAGGCATGGGATCGAGGGTGATTTAGCGGTTTGGATCAGAAATTGGCTAGCTGTAAGAAGACAGAGGGTGGTGGTTGATGGGAAATGTTCATCCTGGAGTTCAGTTACTAGTGGTGTACCTCAAGGATCTGTTTTGGGGCCACTGCTGTTTGTCATTTTTATAAATGACCTGGATGAGGGCGTAGAAGGATGGGTTAGTAAATTTGCAGATGACACCAAAGTCGGTGGAGTTGTGGATAGTGCGGAAGGATGTTGCAGGTTACAGAGGGACATAGATAAGCTGCAGAGCTGGGCTGAGAGGTGGCAAATGGAGTTTAATGCGGAAAAGTGTGAGGTGATTCACTTTGGAAGGAGTAACAGGAGTAGAGAGTACTGGGCTAATGGTAAGATTCTTGGTAGTGTGGATGAGCAGAGAGATCTCGGTGTCCATGTGCATAGATCACTGAAAGTTGCCACCCAGGTTGATAGGGTTGTTAAGAAGGCGTACGGTGTGTTAGGTTTTATTGGTCGAAGGATTGAGTTTCGGAGCCATGAGGTCATGTTGCAGCTGTACAAAACTCTAGTGTGGCCGCACTTGGTGTATTGCGTACAGTTCTGGTCACTGCATTATAGGAAGGATGTGGAAGCATTGGAAAGGGTGCAGAGGAGATTTACTAGGATGTTGCCTGGTATGGAGGGAAGGTCTTATGAAGAAAGGCTGAGGGACTTGAGGCTGTTTTCGTTAGAGAGAAGAAGGTTAAGGGGTGACTTAATAGAGAAATACAAGATGATCAGAGGATTAAATAGGGTGGACAGTGGGAGCCTTTTTCCTCGAATGGTGATGGCTAGCACAAGGGGACATAGCTTTAAATTGACGGGTGATAGATATAGGACAGATGTCAGAGGTAGGTTCTTTACTCAGAGAGTAGTAAGGGCGTGGAATGCCCTGCCTGCGAATGTAGTAGACTCGCCAACTTTAAGGGCATTTAAATGGTCATTGGATAAACATATGGATGATAATGGAATAGTGTAGGTTAGATAGGCTTCAGATTGGTTTCACAGGTCGGCACAACTGCGCTGTAATGTTCTATGTTCTATGAAGTGGGGCAGCATCGCTGGTTAAAGAGCATTTACACAATAGTGAGGACTGATATTAGCTCCACTATGAGAGTAGAGTTTAGAAACACCAACGGGCAGAAAATGATAGACGGGATTGTACGTAAACCTACAAATTGTTATAATACTGGGGAAGGCATGAAACATGAAATGAAGGATGCAAGCAATAAAAGGTACAGCTTTAACTAAAAGTGGCATTAATTTGCATATAAATTAGGCAAATCAAATCAGTAACAATACCCGCAGAAGTAGTAGTCCTGGCGGGTGTATGGGATGGTTTTCTAGATCAATACATGTTGCCTCATTTATATTAATCCACGGTATTTCTCCTCCCAGTTATGTCGCTTACCTGTCCAAAGAATTGAGGTTTGTCAAACAATTGTATCTTTCAGGCCACTTCTAATTGGTTTTTCTTGGTATTTTCATAATTAGGTCCTCTTTACTTTTAATTGGGCAGTGAATTCCAGACACCCACAATCCTCTGTACAAAATAAAAGTTCTTTTCCTCATGTCCCCTCTAATCTTTCTGCCATTTAGGTTGAATTTACAACTCCCGGGTTTGGAATTCTCTGCCAGGTTCCTCCTCCTTACTGTATCACTACCCCTCACAATTTTGTGTACCTCAATCATGTCATCTACCAGTCTTCTCTGTTCCAAGGAAAACACCCCAGTCTCTCCATGTAGCTACAATTCTCCAGCCCTGGCAACATTCTAGAAAATCTTCTCTGCACTCTCTCTAGAGCAATTACATCTATCCTGTAATGTGGTGACCAGAACTGCACAATATTCCAGTTGTGGTCTCACCAATGTCTCATACAGCTTCATCATTATATCCCTACTTTGATGTATTCTGTATATCTGTCAATGAAGGACAGCATTCTAAACGGCTTCTATACAACTGTATCTATCTGTACTGCTATCTTTAGGGATCTGTGCACTTACAGCCAAGATCTCGCACTTCATCTACCCATCTCAGTACATAACGTCCCCTTTTTGTTTTCAGGTTCTGCCCTCCAAAATGAACTAATTTGAGGAACCTCAAAGGGTTTCAAGGGTTGAAGAGAAGGATTTTTTGTTAAAACACTATGTTTTACAAATACCTAGAATGAACTGCCTGGAAGGACAGAGGAATCAGATAACTTGGAAGGTAGGGTGTAAAATGAACTGGACAGAGTTAGTACAGTTATGATTGCTTGAAGCCCCTGTACTGTATCATTCTACTATTCTAGGGCTGTCCAGTAGGTTGTCTCCCTTGTCTGGATGCTTCCTCTGTTCATATCACAGTTTAGCCCTGGATTACACTTGTGAACTGAAGGATGCCTATCCATTGGTTCAGAAGCCTGAAGCAGAATGGCCCAGATGTATTCTACGGGGCATAGCAATGGGGAGACTGGAGGTGTTTCCATTACTGCTTCTTACCATTCATGTTCCATGTGAAGGCATCCCTCAGCTTCTGTCCATCTATCTCCATGTCAAGGCGGATAGGAACAAGCACCTCTGCCTGAGATGCATTTTCATGGATTACTGCTGGGTCATGGTCATCAAAGCTGAGTGAGAAAGATGTAAAGAATTAAAAATGATCTCATTAATACCCACCAACACCTATATTCTGTTGCAGATCTGTGACCGTGATCAATGTTCAATTATTGCCTAGAACCATACAATAGATCACTGCTAAAGAAAATAAAGCTAATTCAACGCATTCTTACAGGAAACATTTAGCTGGTCTAGCAGCATCTGTAGAGACAGAATCAAATTAACATTTCAGGTCATTGTGACCCTGATTCAGAACTGGACATTAGGGTTAATTCAAACCTAGGAATGGTGTAAGAAAGAAGAAACAGTTCATGACAGGATGGAAACCAGGAGAAATTGAATGATACAGAAATGATGAGACAAGGCAAAAATAATCATTGAACAAGAAACAAAAGGTCAGTCTAGAAAAGATATAAACAGCCAAAGCAAAATCATTAGTCTCAAGCGGGTCTGAAAAAAAATGGAGGTGAGGCAATTATCTGAATTTCAGTCCAAGGTTGAGGCTGGAAGTTTGGAAAGTGCCTAATAACTGACTCTACAATCAAAAGAGGAGCTGATGTTCTCAAACTTACATGAAGCTTTACTGAGCAGTGTGAGAAGTCTTCAGCAGAGCTGTCAGAATGGGACTGGAGCACAGAATTCAAAACACTCACTTAGACTAAACAGAAATGTTCCACATAACCAATCAGCCAGTGGACACCATAACATATAGCAAAGATAGTACACCAAATTAGGATACAAGTACAACACTCTTTCACCTGGAAGGTGAAGTGACAGGAGTAAAAGGGGTAGGTGAAACCAGGAAACTGTGAAGGAATGACTCCTTGAGAATTTTAGGAGGGGAAGATGTGTTGGACATAATACTGGAGGCGGCTGAAGTGGAAGATGGTGATCTAGGCCAAAGGGTTGGAAGGTGAGAAACAGCGGAACCCTTCCCGGCTTTCCAAGAACTGAGAGTTGGACACAGTTGTGAGCCCTGTCAATCACTGTGAAGGAGTACTCAATTGAGGAAAAAGGATGATCAAAGAAGTGCTAATATGAAAACATAACTGAGAATAAAGATGCAACAGAGACAGAGAAACTGAGAGAATGGAACAGAGTACGATATTTATGGGAAAAGGGATGGGAGGGAGTACAATCAATATTGGCATGGATCTCAGTGAATTAGCAGTAGGTGCTGATTTGACAACAGAGGTAGAGAAAGCAAAAATGAAGGGAAGGAGTCCAGGGCACAAATTTATTTTCCTCCCGTGATTTTCTTCCAGGGCTACTTTTTGATTGTCAGGGTCTCCTCTTTCATTCTCACTAACTCATTTATTTAGGTAACGCAGTTAGGCAGTAAAAACTTCCAGCATTTGTGTTAACATGTGGGATATTTGAATTGTATAGAAACAGAATTAGAGGAGTTCATCACTATCCTCAATAATCAGCCTTCAGTTAAACATAAAGCTACAACAAACAGGGGCAGCTTTAATTTCTAAAGCACTACAGTATTTAAGTTGAGATCTTAAACACTGGAGATCAGAAACTGCTGGAGAAACTTCGCAGGTCTGGAAGCATCTGTGGAAAGAAAACAGAGTTAACATCGGATCTGGTGAAGTTATCCACAGACTGTTGAGGTCATTGGCAGTTGACATGCACAAAGCTGATGCATATAGTTACAACTCTAACTGCATTTTGGATCTCAATCTCAAATTTAGACCTAACAACTGACAGCCTTCACCCCAACAGATTTTTCCATTAGATGAATTATATGTTTCCAGAAGATCAAAAGCTAAAGATTCCACAATCATTTGAAACGAATTCACTATCTTAGTGATTTCAAGATTTCCTGGCTCCTAGTTAGAGTATTCCTTCATTGTCAGATTCAACCCCATTCCTTCTCCCTCAGCCCTCCCTTTCCTGCCTCCTACATTGTGGCCTCCACATCACAGCCACCTCTGTCTACACACCAGCCTCCACATTACTACCTCAAAGTCTCCCTACTCTCTTCCCCCCCTTGCCTCTCATCGTCTTCACCCTCAACCCCCTGTCATCTATACCCTTCAACTCCTGTCTCTTGCCTTTTGCGTTCTGCCACCATGCTCTTACGGCCTTTCTACTTTTTCTTCCCTCCCCCATAGTCTTCCCCTTTCTCCACTTCAGGGCGACCTTCCACCCTCTCCCTCCTCACCTGCAGCCACTGCAAAAATACAACTCTCTTCTGCCCCCGCAACTTCTTCTGCAGCACTTCCTCCCTTACAGCCTCTTGTTAGATGGTCTATTTCTGTTTCTTTCAATACACGAAGGATGATGACAAATTTCTGAGGACAGCCAAATTTGAAAATGATATTCCCTAGAAGGAGCTCTTTAGCCACTAGGAGGAAGTGATTGATAATCGTCACAGTGATCCACTCTGCAACAGACACCAGGGAGACTCCTCTGCAGTTACAGACAGTGCTTTGGCTGAGGAGTTTTTGACAATATTCTCTGGCAAGCACTGGCTGCTTCACTGTCCCTCACAGTTTTCACACTGCACTTGGCGAGGCCATGAGTGGTTGGGCCATAGATAATCTTGACAGCCCTGAAGAAACCACACGTACTTGCATCCATGATGATACACAAGCTATGATCAATACCAAAGGAGCCTGGGTCAAACAAGGCTGTCATCATTTCAACTCTTCAGGTCTTAAGGCCTAAGACGTAGGCCATTCAACCCATCAAGTCTGCTCCACCTTCAATGAGATCATGGCTGATGTGATAATCTTCATCTCCACTGTTCTGCCTTTTCCTCGTAACCCTCGATTCCCTTACTGATTATAAAAATCAGTCTACCTCAGCACTGAATATACTTCATGACTCAGCCTCAAGAGCTCTCTGTGGCAATGAATTCACTACCCTCAGACAAGAAATTCTTCCTCATCTGTCTTAAACATCCAAACTTTATTTTGAGATTATGCCTTCTGGTACTACACTCACCCACTGGGAGAAAACAACATTTTTGTATCTATTCTGTCAACAGCCCTAAGAACCTATGTTTCCTTAACAATATATAATGGAACCTACGAGGGAGCAAGCTATCCTAGATCTAGTCCTGTGTAATGAGACAGGAATAATTAATGATCTCACCGTTAGGGATCCTTTCGGCAAGAGCAATCACAGTATGGTCGAATTTAAAATACAGATGGAGCATGAGAAGGTTAAATCCAGTACCTAAGTTCTGTGCTTAAACAAAGGAGACTATGAAGGAATGAGGGAGGAGTTAGCTAAGGTAGAATGGGAGCAAAAATTTTATGGTGGGTCAATTGAGGAACAGTGGAGGACTTTCAAAACGATTTTTCACAGTGCTCAGCAGAAGTATATTCCAGTGATAAGGAAGAACTGTAGGAAAAGAGAGAGCCTGCCATGGATGTCTAAGGAAATAAAGGAAAGTATCAGATTGAAAAAAAACACATACAAAAAAGCAAAGAGTAGTGGGAAACTAGTGGACTGGAAAATCTTTAAAGGCCAACAGAAAGCCACAAAAAAAGTTATAAAGAAAAGTAAGATAGATTATTAGAGTAAACTAGCTCAGAATATAAAAACAGGCAGCAAAAGTTTCTATAAATATGTAAATCGTAAAAGAGTGGCAAAGGTAAACATTGGTGCTTTAGAGGATGAGAAGGCCAATTTGATAACTGGGAATGAGGAAACAGCCGAGACATTTAATAGTTATTTTGTGTCGGTCTTCACAGTGGAAGATACAAATAACATGCCGAAAACTAATGGCAAGAAGGTTATAGCAGGTGAGGACCTAGAAACTATCATTATCACTAAGGAGGCAGTGCTGGGCAAGCTAATGGGGCTAAAGGTAGACAAGTCTCCTGGCCCTGATGAAATGCATCCCAGGGTACTAAAAGAGGTGATGGAGGAAATAGCAAATGCACTAGTAATTATTTACCAAAATTCACTGGACTCTGGGGTGGTTCCCGCAGATTGGAAAACAGCCAATGTGACGCCACTGTTTAAAAAAGGAAGTAGACAAAAAGCAGGTAACTACAGCCCAGTTAGCTTAACTTTGGTAGTGGGGAAAATGCTTGAATCTATCATTAAGGAAGAAATAGCAAGACATCTGGATATAAATTGTCCCATTGGGAAATGGGTTCATGAAGGGTAGGTCATGTTTAACTAATTTGGTGGAATTCTTTGAGGACATTACTTGCGTGGTGGACAATGGGGAACCTGTGGATGTGGTGTATCTGGATTTCCAGAAGGCATTTGACAAGGTGCCACACCAAAGGCTGCTACATAAGATAAAGTTGCATGGTATTACAGGTAATGTATTGGCATGGATAGAGGATTGGTTGACCCGTAGAAAGCAAAGAGTAGGGGTAAATGGGTGTTTTTCTAGTTGGCGGTCAGTGGCTAGTGGTGTGCCTCAGGGATCAGTGTTGGGACCGCAATTGTTTACAATTTACATAGATGATTTGGAGTTGGGGACTAAGTGTGCTGTGTCAAAATTTGCAGATGACACTAAGGTGAGTGGTAGAGCAAAGTGTGCAAGAGACACTGAAAGTCTGCAGAGGGATATAGATAGTCTAAGTGAGTGGGCAAAGATCTGGCAGATGGAGTACAATGTTGATAAGTGTGAGGTCATCCATTTTGGTAGGAATAACAGCAAAATGGACTATGTTTTAAATGGTAAAAAATTGCAGCACGCTGCTGTACAGAGGGATTTGGGTGTCCTTGTGCATGAATCACTAAAAGTAGGATTGCAGATGCAGCAGGTAATTAAAAAGGCAAATGGAATTTTGTCTGCCATTGCTAGAGGGATGGAGTTTAAAACAAGGAGGCTATGCTGCAGCTGTATAGGGTCCTGGTGAGGCCACACCTGGAGTACTGTGTGCAGTTTTGGTCTCCTTATTTGAGAAGAGATATACTAGCACTGGAGGGGGTGCAGAGGAGATTCACTCGGTTGATTCCAGAGTTGACAGGGTTGGATTATGAGGACAGACTGAGTAGACTGGGATTATACTCATTGGAATTCAGAAGAATGAGGAGAGATCTTATAGAAACATATAAGGTTATGAAGGGAATAGATAAGGTGGAGGCAGGGATGTTGTTTCCACTAGCAGGTGAAACTAGGACTAGGGGGCATAGCCTCATAATAAAGGGAAGCAGATGTAGGACTGAGGTCAGGAGGAACTTCTTCACCCAAAGGGTTGTGAATCTGTGGAATTCCCTGCCCAGTGAAGCGGTTGAAGCTACCTCGCTGAATGTTTTTAAGGCAAGGCTAGATAAATTTTTGAACAGTAAAGGAATTAAGGGTTATGGTGAGTGGGCGGGTAAGTGGAGCTGAGTCTCAAAAAGATCAGCTATGATTTTATTAAATGGCGGGGCAGGCTCCAGGGGCCAGATGGCCTACTCCTGCTCCTAGTTCTTATGTTCTTTTCAATAAGGCTGTCTTTCATTCTTCTAAATTCCAATGAGTACAGGCTCAACCTACTCTGCCTTTCCTCATAAGGCAGTCCCTCCCGTTTTTAGCTGAGTGAACTTTTTATGGATTTCTTCCACTGCTAGTATATGTTTGCTTAGCTAGGGGCCCAAACCTATTCAGTATTTGAGCTGTGGTCTGACTAGTGGCTTGTACAGTTCACTACTTTTATACTCCATTTTGTGAAATTATTTGTCTTATTACCTGAACTTGCACGCTAGCTTGTGATTTATGGATGAGGAATCCCAAATCCCTAGCTTTCTGCAGTCTTTCTCCATTTAAATGATATTCAGCTCCTCTATTGCTCCCGCCAAAGTGCAAAACCTCACATTTTCCCACCTTATATTCCATAATCTTTCATATTATCTCCCTGCAATACTGCACCTCACCACCATACTACTAACGCACAAAGAAACTCTCCCCACACCCTGTCCTCTGCATATAAAATCGACATTTTCCTCAGAACTGATGGTAGCTAGGGTCACTCAACCCAAAACATTAACTGATTTCTAGCCACAGATGCTGCCAGACCTGCTGAGTTTTACCAGAAATTTCTATTTTTGTTTCTGATTTGCAGCATCTGCAGTTCTTTCAGTCTTTAGGACAAAATTCATCACTATCTTTAACATCCTTTAGCTAACTGAGGAACACAGTACTTGAGTAACAGGATCACATACCTGAGATTAAGCTAGTGATTTACAGGGCAGCAATGATCCCCTGCTCCTGTTTCAGGAACTTAAACAACTGGTGCAGGCATCTCCAATTTGTGAAGCAGTACCACTGGCGATGCATTTGCAAAATTCTTCAAATCTGATACCAAGGTGGTCATACAGCAGGTCCTCTCTCAAGTCAACATGCTTGTACCAAGACGCAGATGGCTCTTTTTGAGCTCTGTTGGACAGTGGAGTTGTAGAAATACCTGACACCAGACTCACAAAGCAAATGTTCTAACTGGGACTCAGTCAAGGCAGGAGATTCCCAGATGAGCAGCAGAAATCCTTGAAGAGTGCCCATAAAACTTCCTTAGAGGGGTGAAACATCCCCATTGTCTCATGGGAGATCCTGGCTGGTGACCCACCAAAATGTAGGAGATACTTTCAGGAAGACACCAAGCATGTCAAGAGACTTTGTAAGGCAGAGGTGAAGCTGAGGCACTCAAGGAACACACAAACCTCCAAAACAACCCATCTACCCATTCTTCAACACCATTTGACTTGAGCATGACAGAGTCTGCATATTGCACATTGGATTCTGAGATGACCGACAAATCTATTGAGGAGTGGAAACAAGTCAGCTTCAATCCCAGAGGAACTAGCTGCCCTGGTGCGTAAAAGAACTTTCCATACCAGTACGCCCTTGTTGTTAATGGCACCATAGTTACAGGCAGATATCAACACAGATGGATAACAATAAACACTACAGACTTCACCCCATGATAAGCAGGGACTCTCAAGAAGCTAGTGGGTCCTCAGCAAAAATTCCTCAGGGATCCCTGTGATGATTACCTTCCCCCACCTGCCAGATTATTTAACAATAGGATCATTATAAAACAACTATGGTTTTAAAAAGTTGTCTCTATTTTTGGTGCTATTATCTATTAGTCAGGGGAAAGTAAGCAGGTTTCTTTCTCTGAAGGACATTACTAATTTAGTTAAGTCAATTCAGATTTCATTCTCATTTTCCCAGTGCCAGCAACAATTGACCAGATTAAGGAACTGAGCTTTATAGTTTGCCATAATGGGACATGAACAGGGGAACTTTGGGTGCGTAGTCCAGGATCAGCAACACTGACTCATTGCCATAGGGAGAAAAAGGCTCTCAGCCCCCGGCAAACCTGGCAGTAAATTGCAATAACACTTACCAGAGTGGGAATGTCCTTTTCTTGTCCCGGCTCATACGGTTGCGATTTATGGTTGTAGAACAGGGCACAGCATCCAAGTGATGTGAGCTGTTGGGCAGGGTGGGTACCCACTGACTATTGCGCTTTGCCTTGGGCTCTCTGTATTGGAACAAGGGAGTAGAGATACTCATCAGATTGCATTGGAGCGGCTCCACGGTCACACCTCCAATTTATATTAGACTGCCTGTTTAACACCAGAGATATCAAAAATTCACCAGGTACTGATCCCAGCTACCAGCATGCACCCAGACATCCATAAGCAATTGCACATCCAAGTCAGCAGACACTCACCCTAGAAAGCAGCACTGAACAGAGAGAGACAGTGTGAGAGAACTTGTGTGGTTATAACTGAGGCTGACCACATCTCAGGCAAGGGAAGCAACTGTGAAGGAAAATCCTTCATGATAACCTCAGCTACTGCGGGAACTGAACCCATTCTGGTTTTTAGGCTGAGTGCTGGAGGTGTGATGGTTTGTAGAATTAGCATTGCGGTTAGCTGAGATGACTGGATAGCTGCTTTGTGATGTAGAGTGACCCTCTACATCACAAAGCAGCTATCCAGTCATCT